ATACATCTCTATAAATAACATAAGATTGTTCAATAAGTTTAGATTTTTCTAATGGCATATTATAAGTAACTGTGAATACTTTGTGATCACTGAAACTACCTTCATAAACATTGGATTTGCAAAACATGTTCTCAACATTTGTTAGTATGTAATCGACTTTAGTAGATGAAGTTTTCCCTGACTGGTTGGTAAAAACTCTAGTAGGAGTCAAAGATGTCACTTGTAAATTGAAATTGAGTAGTAGTTCATCTAATTTGATCTTTTCAGTAGTATTTTCTAGGTAATTGACATTCAAGTCGCCACAAACAAAGATATCATCAGCATAGCCTACACTGTTCTCTAATATGCAAAATAATTTATTCAAAAACGTATCAAAGTTACCGTTTGGAGATCTATAAATACTAAGTATACAAATCTTTCTGTCCTCTATAACTAATTTTATCCCACTGCATTCGCAATGGATTTCTTCGGACCATCTCCCAAAATTTAGGCTCCGCGATACATTGGAACATAAATTGCACTTTGCTATCTGGGTAGGAGATTTTTCCTGTATTGCAGGTGATCTCCTTGAATAATTTCGGCATGGTCCTGCTGCTGGATGAACGAAGATGCATAAATGTCTGTCAGATATAATTCAATGTCCAACATGGTATTAGCCGGGAAAGTAGTCGTTATCCGACAGACGTTTACCAGAGCCTCTTTTTTAAGTATTTAAATAATTTTTTAAAGAAAAAGGTTGAAATGATAAGTACAAAATGCGTTGTTTTAGAGCTCTTTTATGAAAACTACTTGATTTTCATCAAGAGGAACATTCCCCATTGCTTAAATTTGTCATTTTAAAAATATGTAGCATTGTCAATTATACTTCTAGCTTGTTTACCTCTGTTCCCCTCTATTCCCCATTGTATGTTTTAGCTGATGAATATTTTTTACTAAAAAAAAATTACATTCATCAGATAAATAACATTTACTTTGAAAAATTGTCATGTGGAGATTCTCATTGCAGGACTGAATTGTTCAAAATTATAAGCAAATGTTTCTGTTTTGTAGATGCAAGATTTTGATGAACAACAAACTCGGGAAAGACAACACACTTTGAATATTCACTTTGAGTCACCTACCTCTCAAAATACAAATTCACGTGGAAGAGAATTTGTAGTACAAGGAGGTCCGTGGGAACAAAGGGCTCCAAATACATCAAGTGTCACAGAATTTCCATCATTTGGACGTAATGTTCAAGAACCTCAGTCTGCTCCGTCTCCAGTTGGTGGAGCTTGGGGAGCTCGCCGTTAAAAACTGATTCTTATTATTGCACTTGCCTTCTATTTACATGTATTATAGTTTATTTGAATTTCACTTTTACATAATTTTATCCAGACTCATAATTTTTCAATTCTAAACATTCTTTTTGGGTTTCGGATAGTTTGAGATTTGAATATGATGGAGGCGAATTGTATTTAAAAAAAAACACTGCCAAACATGGAAATGGAAGGTAGTGTCAAAATGAGTTTGAGGTTATGTTAAGATACTAACCTTAGGAATTAGTTTGTTGCTGAGACAACCCCTCTTCCCTCACTGTTTGCTGCATTAATTCTTAGGCCTGGCAACGACAATGGACTCTCGACATGGTAACTGAAATAAAATAAAACGCAAACTGTTTCTTTCAAGATATTATGTCTTCCCTGAACCGGGCAGACGTTCGGCGGCCTAGCATTGGCACTAATAATGTAGAGATGTTATGATATTTATGATTTTATTTTAGTTAATTGTATAAGTTGTCTTCATCTGTATATTTCGATAGATATAATTTAAGCCTATAATTAGGGCAAACACTTTAGATGACCAGCTAATGAACAAACTTGCTTGTTGAATAAATATAGGTAAGTAATCTAATTGTAAACCACTCTCCTTAAATTGAAATTGTTCATAAATTTAATGGGAAAAAATATAGATATATAGCAAGCGCCAAACGTGATGGCGAGCGATCGCGCAGGTATATACTGTCCCAACTAAATTGCTATTGGATTACGATAAGCCGCTTGCCGGTCAGCGTCGTACCTATAATTAGTTTTAATTAGGGTAGCAAATGGAACATGACTTCTTTGTAATTTCTTTTCATATTTTATTTAGTATTATAGGTAGTAGTACACTTCATTGAAACGTTATATAATGATACACTCTTGGTTTTTTGTTAGGCGATAACATTTTTTCAGAAACAACAAATTATTCGGACAATGCCAAACACCAACAGCATTGGAGGACAAGTAATGATAAATCCCTGTACAGAGCATTTGTATGTCTTACAAGAGCTGTAATGGGAGTTACATTGAAAATGAGTTTGTCCGCATGGGGGTGGACTCGCCATCACGTTTGGCGCTTGTTGTACGTTTGTCTTTGGACAAAGAAATGAATTGTGAAATGCTTGAAGTATTTCTTACTAGAAAGCCTCGTAATAAATATTTTTGCACACATTCATTTAATATATCTGAAGTGATTGGCCTATGATTGTGCATATTGCTACATATCATTCTGTTTCTGATTTATTATATATTTACATTTTTAAAGTTTTCTATATTTTTATTTTTGTGTCATAACCTCTCTGCTTTTCGAAACAAGGCAGTGTATTGTGCCTTTCTCTAATTTTTTTTATATGACTGTACTCAACTCTTGTCACAAGCCTTGTGATCGATTCTAGAGATGGCTCGTCCTATGTAAGTGGTATAGAATTTTTTTATTGTAATTTTTGTTTTGTTTGAGATTCTATTAAATGTGTTAATGATGAATCATTTGAATGTAAAAACGGACTGATTGTGTTGAAATGGTATCAACATTACTTAATTGAAATGTAAAAATTGAATTTCCCTGTTATCTTGTACATATACGATAATATATTATTTTACAATGAGTCCTTGCGGTCGTTTTGTTAGCCCAGGACTAACCTGAGGGAGAGAATTATATTGAAATATATAAACAAAAATTGAAGTTGTAATTATTATTTATCTGATTCATTTTTATTTCAATTAAAAACATGTTTTGGTATACGGATCAATAATTTCTAAGAAAAGAAATGAATGGCCTTAGCAATAGAAACACTCAATTGAAAAATGAAACTAAAAAAAAGACCATTGCTAATGGGCTCATTCAGGCTAATTTAGTTTTTTATTGAAAATTATAGGTGTTCCCTGAACCACCATTTCAGAATCTAGGCTTTAGAATAATGTCTGCTCCGCTAGCTTTGACCCTTACGAGAGGCAAAATGTTAATACTTGCAAAAATATTTTGTGCCAATCAGTATAAATTCGCGTCAACAGAGGTGCGTGTAGGGATTGGAAACAATCGCTTACAAGAATTATCCTCTACTGAGCCAACTCTAAATATTCATGATTTTGATGTTTCATTTTTTACTTATTACGTCATCAAGCGAGCACACACAGAACATGACAATGAAACTTTTTTCAGTAACTGATCTGTACTGTTTTAATACATTTTTAAGATACATCCGAGAATGATATTCAATTTTAATTTGCAGTTTTTTCTTTGAACTTGCATTCTGTGTAACATACTAAATTTGTATTGAAAGGGTATATTTTAGGAGAGATTAGTTTTGGGAACAAAGCTTTATGGCTTTTTATTTTACATTTATGGGGGAAAAATTTCCGTAGGAGGGGAGAAAGCAATTAAGTTCAAAATAAACTATTTAGAAAGATGTTAAGATGATTCATATAAATCATTTTCTGATACAAACTGTATAAATAAGCCCTCTGGAAACAGATACTTTCATATGGTGGGGCTCCATATCGTAAGCTCTCAAGAGTTTTATTTGTTCAAATCAGTAACCAATCTGAACGTATTGAAACCATCTTACTTCTCTATATTGCATTCTATACTATCATGTGGTACTTACAATAATTGTATTTCAATATCAGAAAAAAGCCAGTGAAAGCATTGAGATTTAACAAATTCGAGTCATCAAAAAGTTTCTCCTCGAGAAATGTTTCTAAAATATAATGGAATATTTGAACCAAGCAAGTTCATTGGTGAAATTATAAAACAACAATAAAAATTAATTGGCGCTCCGGGGCGACTTCATTGATTCCAGTGACGCTTTTTCAGCTGCAGGAAAACCCGGAAAAACCTGCAGCACCACATCATTAATATACCATAATATATTATCTTTTAGCATCAAATGATTATTTGGTCAGCTAATAATTACTTTCAAATAATGATTTTGTTGTGTCATTTATATGTATTCCTTTTATGTGTTCAACATTTTATTTTTATTGCAACATTTTTCTTTATGTACTGTGACCCATAAATGTATTTATACATAACATCATTAAATAAAACTACAACTACAAATCAGCTGTTTCGAGGAAAACTCTAATCAAACCTTTTCATTCTACCAAAATGGTGAAAAAACATTAATTTAACGTCATTTTACTACCACTTACCTAATTTTAGCACTAAAAATATTTTTATTTGCGCTCTATTATTGTCCTTGAGGAGTTCCA